TATGAGCTCGTAAGGGCAAGAGCCTTGTCTATGAATTCCCAGTGTCTAGCATTGTACCTGGCACTGGGTGAGATTTCAGTATGTTTGCCATAAGTTACTGAGTTATATTAGGTACAGTGACAAAGTCCAAATAATGAACTCTAGTGGAGGAAGTTTAACTAGCCCAAGGAGAAAGAACCAGGGAAAAATAATCTTTGTTCCTCTCATATCCCTACTTTATGAAGCCAAGGAAGAAAAAACCTAGCCATAAACCTAGACTTGGTTTAATGACTGCAAACTCTGCCACCTGCTGTGGTACCTACAATATGGTATTTGCTGGAGTGTGGACAAACAAATTAGTAGCAGAGAACAGTAAGTTATGTTACAAGGCAGAAAATAACAGAAATAATTCCTGGTATGAGCTGAGATAAAAACAAAACAAAAAAAACCAGAACTGGTAAGAAGGAAATAATTTGATTCAAAAAATATTTCCCATCCTGTTCACCTATCAATGTATGTACCCCACAGTCTAGCTGCTTATTAGACAGATCAAACAATACTTTTTAATCTTTTTTATTCTTTGAGACAGGGTCTCCTTATACAGTATAGCCCAGGCTGGCCTGGAAGTTGAGATCCTCAGCCTCCTGAGTGCTGGGATTACAGTTTTGTGCCATCACACCTGACTTGTTATACTGTGAAAGTGACAACCCACAATTAAAAGACAGTGCCACATCCACAGAGAACCTTTGGTGCTATTCACCTCTGAAAACCTGGCTAGGAGTTATTTGTATCTTTTCTTTCTTTCTCTCTTTCTTTTTTTGCCAGTCCTGGGGCTTGAACCCAGGATCTGAGCACTGTCCCTGAGCTTCTTTTTGCTTAAAGCTAGCACTCTACCACTTGAGCTACACAGCACTCCTTCTGGTTTTTCTGTTTATGTGGTAATAAGGAACCGAACCCAGGGCTTCATGCATGCTAGGCAAGCACTCTACCACTAAGCCACATTGCAGCCCTATTTGTATCTTTTCTCAGGAGTTAATTATATCTTTTCTTGTCTTTAAGTCTGGGAATTTGAGGAAGCTGTTCTTTGTGTCAAGGAGCTTGGCGGTATGTGGAGAGAAGAGTGGAACAACACACCTGGGATTGTGGAAAGATCTCAGGTTTAAATATACAAATCACTATCTGCTACTGATAAAAGTTCTTGGCCATAACCAATTTGAGTGGGAAGTAAGTCATATGTGGACTGTAACTTATAAGATAGGTGAAAGAGAGCAGGGCACTGGAGGCTCACACCTATAATCCTAACTACTCAGGAGGCTGAGATCTGAGTATCATGATTCAAAGCCAGCCAAGACAGGAAAGTCCATGAGACAACACCAGAAAAACTGGAAGTGACACTGGAGCTCAAAGTGGTAGACTGGGGGGCTGGGAAGGTGGCTCAGTGGTAGAGTTCTTGCCTTGCATGCATGAGGCCTGGGGTTCGATTCCTCAGCACCATATAAGCAGAAAAAGCTGAAGTGGTGTTGTGGCTGTAGTGGTAGAGTGCTAGCCTTGAGCTGAGCTGAGGAACAGTGCCCAGGCTCAGAATTCACATGACCGACCCTCCCCCCCCCAAAAAAAAGGTAGCTTGCTAGCCCTGAGTGCCCAGGCCCTGACAGACAAGGAAAAAAAAAATGGTGGAAAAGGCAGTGTCCCAACATCTCCAACATGCTACCTACATCTGTGTACTTCCAGAGATTCAACACTTTGTAAAGAAACCATTCCCTTGGTGTGGGTGTACATAACTTCATTGCTTCTCAAGGCAGGCAGCCGAATCCATCTTGGCAATTACCAGAGGACCTCAATCAGAGTACCTAGATATTAAGCAGGATGAAGTACTCTGAACACACCAATGTCAGTTAGCTCATACAATCAAGAGCTGTGTTTCTTGTGACTGACTAGAAAAGGGTGCATCAACTGACACGTGGAATTAAAACCCCTATTTAAAGATAACAAAATGAAAAATAATTTACTAGATTGTCCCACTCCGAAGTTCTCACCAAGACAAGACAGTGTACGGTTTAACAAACTGCCTACAGGCCACAAGACCGCGGGAATTACAACCTCCGTGAATTCGAACTCACTTTCTTTTCACTCCTCGGGGTCAGAGTACTCATCAACAGAAGTAACCAGGTCATTGGGCTCAAGCTCCCATACAACAATAATCACAACTGTTTAGGATGGGTACGTTATCAGGTGTGGACCAGACAGACAGACAGTGGCAGCACTGCTCCTGGTACCCGGTTCCCTCTCTCCAGCGCGCTCAGGGCCCAGGTATCCACACCCATGGACGGTTAGGTCCGAGTCTTCACCGCGCCACGGAGTCCCATCTCTTAGGCCCTATTCCTAACGGGGGGGAGCGGGGAGGGCAGCTTCAGCCACTCACCTGGTTCTCGCCCCGCAGCCGCGGCCGGTACCCCCGCAGCCCGTCGTCCTCCTCGCCCGCGGGGTCGTCAGGCCCCTCGTAACCCAGGACGTGAGGGCAGCCGCGGAAGGCGAAGTCTTCCAGCTCGCGCAGGAGGCGCTGCTGCTCGGCCGGCGCCCCGCGCACCACCTGGCGCAGGCGGAACTGCACCTGCGCGAAGTGAGAGGACAGCGCGAGCAGAGCCGAGTCCAGCCGCCGCCGCTCGGCCCTCAGCCGCCGCAGCGTCTGGCTGGGCGAATCCGGAGGGGATCCCGCGGTCGCCACGGGATCTTCCACAACGGTTTCTTCCGAAAACGCAGCCGCCCCAGGCCCAGCCTCCGCCACCGCCCCCACCGGGGCCCAGCGCACCGCCTCGCAAGGTGGCAGCGACTCATCTTCCTCCTCCTCCTCTTCGTCCTTCGTCTTCGGCCCTGTTTTCGCCACCACTGTTACCGGTTCCACAGCTGCTTCCACAGCCGCCATCTTTCCGGAAACGCCGGCGCACGTTAGCCGCGCCCCTTTGCTGCCATGGCAACGGCGCCGAGGCCGAGGGGCCAGGGCGGAGCAGCGGGTGGGGCAGCGGGCGGGGCAGTGGGCGGGGCTTGCAGCTTCATGATCTGGGAACAGCCGGGGGGATTTCGTTTGCGCCAGTCGTTTTTAATATATATATATATATATATATATATATATATACGTATATTTAATGCATCTATTGTAAATTGACATAAAGTGCCGAGCGTGGGAGAAGGAGGTGAATGAGAGCGAAGACAATGATTCCCTGTGTATAGGGTCAATGAGAGCTGTACTAGCTGGTGGCTAGTCTCTTCCTAATCTCTGTATTTATGGAGACCCCGAGAAGTGAAAGGCTGAGGGATTCAGCTTTCTCAGGGTCCCTCTGGCGCTTAGAACGCCAGCCGCGTTTCCTTTCCCCTCAACCATTACCCTGACCATACAAGGAGAAACAGCTGTTGGGGGCGTCTCCAGGATCTAAAGATAGAGTCCCTTGCCTGAGACTAGAAAATCCACTGGGCAGCTGGAGTCGCTATGGCACAGTAAGTTTCCGGGGGTCCTTAGTACCCGATCTCTCTCCCTGCCCTTTTCCCTGGAGATTCCCTGTAGCAAGATTTGTCCCAGGGCTCATAGGAACCCTGAATTCTGTGGGATCCCAAGTCCCAGGTCTCTGTGGGGTGGTGGTGTGGTGTGACAAGAACGTTCCCCTTAAGTTCCCAACTTGCCTAGTCTAGCACTTTCTTGATGATTCCCAGGTTTCAACCTCACCAAGTCTACCCATTCCTCTCCTATTCCTTTTTTCTTTTATTTAGCTCCACTTTGACAAGACTTAGTACCACCCAGGGCTGGGAAGGTGGCTCAGTGGTAGAGTGTTTGCCTTGAATGCATGCAGCCCTGGGTTCGATTCCTCTGCACCACATAAGCAGAAAAAGCCAGAAAGTGGTGCTATGGCTCAAGTGGTAGAGTGCTAGCCTCGAGCTGAAGAGCTGAGGAACAATGTCCAGGCCCACAGTTCAGGCCCCACACCTGACCCCCTCAAAAAAAATTGTATAGTACTACCCCAAACCCCTTTGTTGTCCCCTTTCCCTACCCACCCCCCCTCAACTGCCCTCACTTTCCCCTTGCTTACTCCTGTGAAGCTCTATCTCTACTCCCCTTCAGGCAACATGCCAAGACCCTGTGGTATGACAGGCCGAAGTATGTGTTCATGGAGTTTTGTGTTGAGGACAGCACTGATGTCCGCGTGCTCCTGGAGGACCACCGCATTGTGTTCAGGTAACATCTTCCCCTCCAAAGGATCTGACTTTTCCTATCAGTTTTCTGCATCTTCTCAACTTCATTGTCTCCTCAGCTGCAAGAATGGTGATGGAGTGGAGTTGTACAATGAGATTGAGTTCTATGCCAAGGTGAACTCCAAGGTGAGGGTGGACACCAACAGTAATTAGTGCCTGGATGAAAAGGCTGCCTAGGGAAACTGGAGATTCATTCTAAAACTCAGACTCTAAGAATGAAATTCTGTATCTGGCAGGACTCCCAGGATAAGCGCTCTGGCCGCTCTATCACTTGCTTTGTGAGGAAATGGAAGGAGAAGGTGGCCTGGCCACGGCTCACTAAGGAGGATATCAAGGTGAATATGTGGGGAGTGGCTTGCTTCTTCTTGTTTCTATGTATGTACTCAGGCATTGGGTTAGACTTTCCCTCCCATCCCAGCCAGTTTATTTTCAACAGTGTCCAGTGAGTACCAGTGCTGCATTTGTTCACTCTTTGTCCCTCCATTTCTGTGTCCACCCTTAACATTCCAAAGACAGACAAATGAATAAACCAGATAAAAAGAAAAGGAAAAAAGCCGCCTCTTTCCATTTCCTGGAATTCATTTTGATAAACACTATTCTATATAGTCAGAGGCACAGAGGCACTGTGCCTTTATTGTGCCCTTGTTTTCCTCTCCTAAGAGTGATTGTCCTTTGTTCTCACTGTGTATGAATGGTTCAAGTCCTGTATAATTTATCATGTCCCAGTGTATTTTAGATCTAGCTTTCTGATAGGAGAGAAAACATGTGCTTCTGTCTCTCTGAGTTTGGCTTACCTCACTTAACTTGATTTGTTGTGTATCCATCCATTTCCCTGAAAATGACATAATATTATTCTTTGTAACGGCTGTGTAAAATTCCATTGTGTATAGATACCACACTGTTTTGATTCATTTGTTTTGTTTTTGAGACAGTTGGTTATGTAACCTATCCTGGCCTCATACTCACATCTTTCTGCCTCAGCTTCCTGAGTGCTGGCATGACTACTCAACTTTGTTGAGAGGTTTGTTGTATATTTTCTGCTCCATTTTCAGTTACTCTGCATTAACCCAGCATGGTCTGTCTAAAACACACATTTACTTTGTTTTTCTTCTACTGAAGGCCTTCTATGCTGGGCACAGGTGTCTCACACCGGTAATCATAGCTACTCAGGAAGCTGAGATCTGAAGATTGAGGTTCAAAGCCAGCCTGGGCAGGAAAGTCTGTGAGCTTCTTATTGCCAATGAACCAGCAAAAAGTCAGAAGTGGATCTGTGGCTCAAATGGTAAAGCACCAGGCTTGAGCATAAAAGCTCAGGGACAGCGGCAAGACCCAAAGTTTAAGCCCCAGGACCAGCACACACACACACACACACACACACACACACACACACACACACACACACAGAGGCACAAAACAAAAGGCCTTCTAGTGACTTCCTCTCCCTAAAGAAAGTTAAACACCTGCTTGTCAACTTTTGTTGACCAGTCTTTCCACAGTCACAATGACATTTGCAAATTTTAATTAGTTGCTGGATTTGCTGAACAGTGCTGGTGGCTCATACCTACAATCCTAGCTACTCAGGGGGCTGAGATCTGAAGATCTTGGTTCAAAACTAGTCCAGAGGGCTGGGAATGTGGCTTAGTGGTAGAGTGCTTGCCTCTCATGCATGAAGCCCTGGATTCAATTCCTCAGTACCACATAAACAGAAAAAGCTGAAAGTGGCACTGTAGCTCAAGTGGTAGGATGTTAGCTTTGAGCAAAAGAAGCTCGAGGTCAGTGCCAGTGCCCAGGCCCTGAGTTCAAGCCCCAGGACTGGGAAAAACAAAAACAAACCTAGCACAGACAGAAAATCAGTGAGTTTCTTATCTCCAAATAACCACCAAAATGTAAGAATTAGAGGTTTAGTATAGTGCCACCCTTGAGCAGAAAGTTCTAGTTAGAGCACAAGGCCTTGAGTTCAAGCCCAGTACTGACAAACCCCCTCCCTCTCAAAAAAATCATCTGTTGAATAAATGCATGAATAATGTCTTCCCTGAATGAATATGGGAACTTTGGGACAAGGGTCTCAAAGGCTTGCATTCCCTGGAGTAGGAAATTCAGTTTGAAGTTCTTGTTTGGTTGACTGTAACAATGCTTTGTGATAGTTGTTTTTGCAGATACAGTTGTCCTATAGTCAATCTGCACTTAGAGGGAAGACTTCTGTGCTTCAAGACCCTCTTATTATGTTTGGTGCCTAATAGATTCCTAGTAAATATTTGTGGATGTGATGATGAAGTGGCAAAGGGGAAAGGGGTTGCTCAAGAGGGTGCTGTAGATCTTTACCCTATTGATTCTCTTTCTCCCAAGCGTGCACTTCTATACACTCTTGTTTCTATTTTTTTACCCATGATGCTCTGCTTCCCCTAACAGCCAGTGTGGCTGTCTGTGGACTACGATAACTGGAGAGACTGGGAAGGGGATGAAGAGGTGGAGCTGGCTCAGGTGGAACATTATGCAGAGGTAAGAGATATATCACCATCTGTTGCCCATCTTGGTAATTCATTTTTTCTTTTTTGGTTGTGGGTCTTGAACTCTGGGCCTGGGTGCTGTCCCTGAGCTCTTCAGCTCAAGACTAGCATTCTACCACTTGAGCTACAAGCACTTCGGCTTTTTTGAGTAGTTTATTGGAAATGAGCCTCACAGAACTTCTTGCTCAGGCTGGATTCAAATCTTGATCCTCAGCCTCCTGAGTAGCTAGGATTACAGGCAGGAGCCACTGACTACCAGCTTTTCATGGAACTCTTAACAATGAATACTTGGGACAGTAAAAAATTCATATAGGGCTGGGAAGGTGGCTTAGTGGTAGAGTGCTTGCCTTGCATGCATGAGGTCCTGGGTTTGATTCCTCAGCACCACATAAGCAGAAAAAGCTGGAAGTAGCACTGTGACTCAAGTAGTAGAGTGCAAGCCTTAAGCTGAAGAGCTGAGGGACAGCACCCAGGCCCAGAGTTCAGGCCCCATGACCAGAAATAAAAATTCATATAAAATAAGTCATTAGTTACAAATAAATTGTACCCTGTCACATGTCATTGGGTTTCAGAATATTAGCTTTTTTGGGGTGGGGGGCTCATGGGATTTGCTGACCCTGAGTAATTTTATTCAGGATATTGACCCGGAGTAAATTTTTTTTTTTTTTTTTGCCCAAGGCTAGCTAGCACTCTACCACTTTGAACTACAGCTCTACTTCTGGTCTTTAGGTGGTTAATTAGAGATAAGAGGCTCGTGGAGGGGCTGGGAAGGTGGCTCAGTGGTAGAGAGCTTGCCTTGCATGCATGAGGCCCTGGGTTCGATTCCTCAGCACCACATAAGCAAAAAAAGTTGGAAGTGGCTCAAGTGGTAGAGTGCTAGCCTTGAGCTGAAGAGCTGAGGGACGGCGCCCAGGCCCAGAGTTCAGGCCCCAAGACCGGACCCCCCCAAAAAAAAAGAATTGTGGTTTATACTTATAACAAGGAAACCAAGAGAACAGAAAGAGTAAGCAACATTTATGAACACAAATACTTATTCTCTATAGACTACAGATGCTTTTTTCTTTTTCCCACAGGATGATTCTGACAGTGCGGATGCAGCAAGTAATTAACTTTTGTGAGAGCAGATCTGGGGGAGGGGGTGGCTACCTTCTGTTTCTCCAAAAAGCCATGACCTGTACTTTAGTCAGCTATCTTGTATACCAAAGGCTTCAGAGATATCTGAACTTTGGTAAAATTTCTCTGTTGAGGGTCCTTTGTGTGCTTTATGTGTTCTTGCTAGGCACTTGAGTTTGATGTTGCATCAGAATAGTTGAGGAGAGAAGAGTAGCTTCCTATTTATTGACTTAGAATTTCTGTGTTTGGTCTGATTATTTAAATATGGTGTACATTTGGCAGAGCAAAAGCCAAGGAAGAAATAGACTATAATAAATTTCTAGAAACTGTTCTGTTTCTGTTAAGCTGGAACCTGATACCCCAGAGAGACTCCCAGACCAAGACCAATGTAACAGGCAAAAAGAGTCGTTTATTGCAAGCCTCGAGCTTGGTCCTCTGCGCACTCGGCAACCGGTGATGCTAAGAGGCCCCGAGCACAAAATCAGCAAAGCTTTTATAGTATTGAACAAACATGTTTAGGGGATTTCCACACAAGCCACATGATTGGCTGATATTTACAGAAGTGGTTTTGTCAGTGTCCTATTTGGCCCATGTATTCAGGTTTGATTTTTTTTTTATTGTGAAAATACTGTACAGAGGGGTTACAATTACATGGGCATGTACTGAGGTTTGAATGCGGCCTGACCATACTACCTTTTTTGGAAACTTTCATGTTTTTCGGCTATTTCTCAATCCTTGTCTAATTGGTGGTTACTAGGGGTATAATTGCAGTTTTGATTGCAATTAGTTTAGTCCTTCATTTCTTTTCTTTTTTTTAATAAATGAATATAGCAAGACTAAAAGTCAATGCTACTAAGGCTTAACTACAACAGCAAAATATTAGCTCACACTTACACCAAAGTGTATGTTTCCTGCATGGTTTATCTCCCCAGTCACTATCCACAGACTCTGGGAAGCTATAGGAATATGTAGGCTCAGACACAAAAGCCCGGCTTCATATCCGACATTGTGGAAAGGGACTATACATCATTGGGCAGAGCCCTATGACCTCCCGGGGTATCCATGTTGGTATAGTCTTGCATTTCTTTGCTTGTTTTTTTTTT